CGGCCCCCGACGTGGTCCTGGACACCCTGGAGCAGATAAAGAACGGCCCCATCACCACCTGCTCCTCCGAGTCTCCCAGCCCGCACAGCACCCCAAGCACACCAGGCACACCGGGAACCCCCGGCACCCCCGGAACTCCCGGGACGCCCGGTACCCCAGGCACCCCAAGCCCCCTGAGTCCTCTGAGCCCCATCAGTCCACTTCCTGGACCTCCATCTGGACCTCCCAGACCTGCCAACCCATCCCCTGACGCTCTGGGTTCCTTCAAGCCGGTGGCAGCCGCTCGCATCGGGGCTCCGCTGCGACCACCTGCCCTGAGACCCAAACCTATGGTTCCACCTAAAAGCAGCACCCCGCCTCTACCCCCGCCACTGGACAAATCCTGCACCATGTGAGCCAAACCAGGCCAATAAGAGGCCGAATCAGGCCTACCCGGGCCAAAAATGGGCCAGAAGAGGAGATCAGGGTACTGCTTAATGTTTATAATCAACATGAGGGTAGAAATGGTAGGAAAGACGAAAAAGGCTTTTAATGTAGTAATAAAATATAATATATGACATGACTTATGATATGATATGCCATGATATTTATGTGTTGTCAGGTTGGTGTGTACTCTCTTGGTGTGTAGGGGTTTACTTTCTCCATGTATCGAAGCATTTATCAAAGGTTAGCTAAAAGAACTGCTGATGCGGAGATGCAAGTATGAGCGTGGGCGGGGCTTCCTGTGTGAGATCGTAATCAGAGAGAGAGAGAGAGAGAGAGGGACGCGTGGGGGGTGTGGGGGGAGTTGGGGAGTGTAGTTCAGCTCCAGTAAAACTGTAGTTTAAGTGATGTGACTGTTGCCAGAAAAAAAAGAAAAAAAAAAGAAACGAACACGATTGGATGCTGTATCCAGGACAAGCGACTCGATTGGGAAGAGGACGCGGCAAACGATGGTTCAACAACGTCTGCAGGACTTTATAATTTATTTTTTTAATTTTTTCACTCGGTTCAGCTGCTAAGCTCACTTGCACCTCAAAACCACGAAAACGCCTCCTGAGGTTGTCAGTGAAAGAAAACTTATTTAACCAACGTCCAGCTACTTAATGAATGTTTCCTGTATTTTAACGACTGTTCAGCCATCTATTGAATGTTCGGCGAGCCGCGGCGGCAGCTCGCTAAACTTTTTAACAGCCTTCTTGTGTTTTCAGACGGTGGAACCTCATGCCCAGACCGGAGCTTCATTCAAACAGGGTGGTGGAGTGAGTGGTGGAGTTTGGTTAGAGCTTTTTCTGGGACGGGTAGGGGGTGGGGTGGTTGTACGATTTTGTTGCTGTGTGTTTGTGAGTGGTTGTAAGTGTGTATCAAGGAGCATCAACGCCAAGTTAAGAAAAGAAATTATGTTTATTTTTTAAATTTTGGGAATAGAGTCGAAAGGTGATGAAGTGTTTGTGAGCTATAAGAGAAAAACTTCAGAGTGACTGAAAATGCTTCGTAAGTGTGACGTAATCTACGTGAGGTGTTCTGTAGACCGACAGTTTTATTCTGATACTCAACTTTAAGGTTCTTAGTCAGGTCATCGTAGTCTAAGGAGCTTTATTCTAAACAGTATTTCCCATTGATTATGGAAAACGTTTGAGTTTATTCTCAACATTTTATTCTCAATATTTCTACTTTACTCTGAAAATTAGTATTACCAGTTTATTCTCAGTTTATTTGATTATTGTGGGGTCCTTCCCTTACAATATAAAGCTGAACTGAATTACATTAAATTTCGAACTTGAAATTTAAGCTTTATCCTGAAGATTTTAACTGTATGCTCAAAAGAGTATTTCAGATGTATTCTTGAAACATTAATTTCGTGCTGTCAGCGTTAGATGTTAACGCCATAACCGCATTAACACGGCAAATCTCCGTTAGCAAGTTAACGGGGATAGCTCCATGCGAGGGGTTGCATGGCGTCAAGCGTTAGCACGTTTAGCTTGTGCGTCAACGCGTGGGGCTGCACGTGTTGACGCCGTGCAGCCCCATGGTGGGATGATCCGCGGTAACTCGCTAACGGAGATTTGTAGCGTTAATGTGAATATGTATGGGCTCAAATTGTGGCCATAAATATTTTGTACTCGTAAATCAAATGCATATTTGTGAACTGAGCTTTGTAAACTTGTAAACCAAAATATTTGAAGATTTTATGTTTGTGCATCTACAGATGAGAATTTGTGTGTTTGTAAAAAAGATTTACACAAGTTTAAAAAAAATTGTTAAGGTCTGGCTACAGATACAAAGCAAAAAGCTAGGTGTAAAACTCTGCGCTCAGGTTCCCTGGCTGTATGTGACTTTCAACTCACACATACAAATTTTCAGCAAATTTTTCTTCCTTTCAGCTGATTGGTCAATGTCATGTCAATCACATATTAGCAATCCAATCAGAGAACAGATGGGTTTGGCTGTCGGAGGGGTGCTTTACTGAGTTTCAGGTCCTGGAAGGGTAATACAGTTTGAAGCTGGAGGATCTGTACATAAATATCCCATAAGGCTCATACAAGCTAGGTCCCTTAACTTTCGGTAGCTGTTGAAAGGATAAAGTTTTGGTATATCAATGGTTAGAAATACCATTATTACTTTAGGATTAGTTTCACAAAAATCAGGGCTGATCCGGGACCATTGCTGTGAGTTACAGTGCGCAGCATAAAGGCCCTTTCACAGCGTGTGCTGCTAATGCTAACTGCTAACTAAGACCCAAGGATCCAGAATTTGTTGCGCTGGCTACTTAGCTGTCTAGGTTTTGGCGGCAGCGCTACGTGAACTAGATGCTCCTGCTCCTTATTGTTTCTATCTCTGAGTTTATGTCCTCTACAAGAGTTTGTGTTGTTTTATCTTCAAATGTTCAATAAAAACATGTATCGCTAATTCATAATGAAGAAAGCTTTGTGCCTATCCCCACTAGTGAAGATTTCCACAACACTGCTTTCCCCCGAGGTCTGGAGCACTGCTGAAAGGGTTCTGGATGTCTGTATAAGCACACAAACCTTTGAGACAAAAATCACCGAACTCTGACACGCACAGACTGTTTTTCCTTCATGGAGATGAAGGAAAACGCTGGGCTGGCATGTAAAAGAACATTTAATCTTCCAGGACCTGAAGCTCCGCAAAGCACCCCTCCAACAGCCAAACCCATCTGTTCTCTGATTGGATTGCTAATATGTGATTGACATGACATTGACCAATCAGCTGAAAGGAAGAAAAATTGGCTGAAAATTTGTATGTGTGAGTTGAAAGTCACATACAGCCAGGGAACCTGAGCGCAGAGTTTTACACCTAGCTTTTTGCTTTGTATCTGTAGCCAGACCTTAACAAAAAATGTGCAACTTGTGTAAATATTTTACAAACACAAATCCTTTTTACACACACGTAAATTCTCATCTGTATTTGCACAGACATAAAATTTTCACATATTTTGGTTTACAAGGTTACAAAACTCAGTTCACAAAAACGCATTTGATTTACAAGTACAAAATATTTATGGCCACAATTTGAGCCCATAGTTATGGTGTTAACGTCATTTTAACAAGATTAAAGCTCACAGCACTAATTTATTTTATTCCCAAATTTGACTCTCACATTTTGTCTGAAAATTTATTCTCAGAATAGCATTTCAACTTTCTTCTAGAATAACCATTTCTAGTTTATTCTCAACATTTCTGGCTTGAAATGTTAACGTTATTCTGATAACAATGTTGCAACTCTTTATTTTCAATTTAAATTTTCTTCTCAAATCTTAGTTCTGGAAATTGTGTTTATTCTCAGAACAATAACTTTATTCTGGAAGATTTTGACTATTCTCAAAATCTCAAATTCCTTCTCAGAACAGTATGTCAAATGTATTTTGGAAATAGTACGCTTACATTTTGACTTCTATAAAAATCTATTCTCAGAATAGTGTTTCAGCTTTAATATGGACGCTTTATTTTGAGTTTATTCTCAAAATGTAATTCTCAGAATATTGACTTTATTCTGAAATTTCTGACTTGTCCTCAAAACAGTATTTCAGCTTTAGTTTTTCAGGTTTACTCTTAAATCTTGACTTTCTCAGCATAACATCTCAACTTTAATAAAGATATTTTATTTTGAATTTATTCTCAAAATAATGTTTCAGATTTCTGCCATATCAAATGTGCAGAGCTACTCACTGTGGTGATTAAAGGAACAGCTGAAAGTAGCTTCCGTTTCAATTTTGTTCCAGAAATGGTGCTTTAGGTTTGTTCGCAAAATGCTGAGTTTATTCTTGACAGTATTTTTAGTTTTAAAATGGTATTTTGAAATTAGAATCAAGACCAACTCTGTCCCCGTAATCCTTAACTTCTAACCGCACAGTTTTTATAATTTCCGGCATTTAGCAAAACTGACTAGATTTTTCCTACACAAGTAGTTTGTTTTGATCCTTAAATTATTTCAACTCTGTTCTGATGTTACAGCTTCATTCCTCAAGTTTCGACTTTGTTCTGCAAAATTAAAGAGAAATTTCTCGTAATATTTTTTTTCCTCGGTGCGACCCTGATACTCCTTGTAAAGTGTGTGTGTGTGTGTGTTCTGCTTGCCTGCCCTTGTTCTGCTCCCTTGTAAGTGCAGAAGTACTAGAATAGCATTAGATAATAGATAATTCATGCCTGCCAGGAGTGCCAGAACACGCGAGTGGAAGTTGGGGAAAACGAGTGCAAAAAGCATGCCACTATCTGTGTGTTTGTCAAAATACTGGTTTACCTGCTCGTTACACTGAAGTCACTAGTTAACCTTAAACTCACAATAAGCTAACAGGGTGGGGCTTTGTGTGTAAACGCCCAAAAACACTTGAACAGCACACTGAATGTGGCCTCCAACTGGGCTGTGAGTGTGGTGATTAAAATGAAACATGACGTGCTGAGATAGGCTGTGGATGCACATCTGTGAGTGTGTGTGTGTGTCTGTGTGTGTGTGTATGTGGAAGTGCCTTTTTTTAAAATCCTTTTTTGGAAGTTGTGAATCCACTCACGCATGTCCTGAGCGAAGAGCAGCAGCACTCCGAATGAAATAATCATAAAGTGTTTAGTAGATTTCTGAATTATGAATTCTAGCATTAACCCATTGTGAACATTGCACTTTGATGTATAGGATTGTGTACTTGGCATGTAGCATCATAACATGTTGGTGCATTTTAACTCAAAGGGAGGTTTCTTTGAATGTGTTTGATAATAAAGGAAATGGTTTTTGTCTGTTAGTGTTGCTGTATTTGAAAACTGAGCCTCCTAATGATGAGCTCATATAGCCAAATGGATTGTATCAATGTGTTGTATTTATATTATAAATAAACCTAAACTAGCATTCAAGCCTCTCATCGATTTGATCCTTTCCTTTGCTGTTTTCTCCCACTCAAACTTCCTGATGTGTTCAGTAAATTGCTGCCATTTAACCCTTTCATAGTTCTTTTTCCACTATTTCTCCAAATGTCGTTAACACCAAATTGTGCGCCCACCATCTGAAAGTTGCAGCAGAAATTGAGTTTTTGGTGAGTCTGTGGCTTCAGTTTCCTCTTCTTAGTTGACGGGAGTGGTACCCGGTTTCCCCTTTAGCTGCAAGGTTCAACCGGTTTTGCTTTCAGAGAATCTCTTCTGCATACTTTGGTTGCAGTGAGTGGCTATTTCAGATACTGTTGGCTTCCATTTTCCTCTGACATCACCAAGACATTTTTGGCCAGAAACTGCCGCTCACTGGACATTTTCTCTTTTCAGATCTTTCTTTGTAAATTTTAAAGACGGTTGTGCAGGAGAGCAGATGGGCAGTTTTAGGCTTTGTTCAAAGTCCATTAAATCACATTTCTCCTATTCTGATGTTTAGCTTGAACTTCTGGAGGATTATTTTGACTGTGTTCAAATGCTTAAATGCACTGGGCTAATAAAAGGGCCAGTGGGTGTATGTGCATTAGTAAATGAACACTCTTTAATTTTTAATCTCAGACGATATTCACAAAAAAATTATTTTATTCTCCTCTAAAATATTGAGCTTTCTGTTCCAGTGATGGATATTCCTGTTAAACATAGCCAAAGTTTCACATAATGAGATCACTTTACGTGCAGCGAGCCAAAAGCTTCACAGGTTAAACCGTCTGGTCTCGAAATGATGTCACATATCCTTATTGTAGTGATCTCAGCACATAGCTGAGCACTGCAGTCCCGTCCTGTGAGAGGCAACCAATCAAAACAAAGTTGGTTCAAACAGGGGGAGGAGCCAAAGCAGCTGCAGCAAAGCAGAGTTTAAAACAAATAAGGATATTAAAAATAAATAAATAATACAAAAAAAAATATGTAAAAAGTAAATATTGAAACTTTACTGTTTTACATTTCAAATCTTTATTTAAACTGTATTAAGCACAACAAATGTAATGTATAACGAATTAAAACATAAACCTGTTAAAACCGCATGATGCCAAATAATTAAAAGGCTCTGAGCACGAGCAGTGCTGTGGTGGTCATCCTGTCACGGTCAGGTCAAATAAATTCAGAGCACCTAGAATCTCTTTGGTCTGGAATATTTTTGGCAAACTGAGAAAGCAGCAAAAAGCGCCAGCTGGACCACAGAAAACGCAGGACCATGTAAAAATTTAGCGTCTTGTCGATGTGCAGTTCAGCCCTTCGACCCGGGTTTGAGGGTGCTGAAAGGCTTGGAGTTCCGAAGCGAGCCAGAAATCTCCTGCAAGAAGCCGGTGAGGTGCAGATCCTTCTCAGACTTCCTTCCGTCAAAGATGACGACAAGCGTAAAGTGCGGCTCCGGCCGCGTCAGGTAGTATGTGCTCTGGACCTTGTCATCATAGAAGTGCACCACTTTGTCCAGAGTGTTGAGTTCAGCGGCGCGGTCTCCCATCATCATGATGACGTTGGGCCAGTGTGTGAGCGGCCGCTCTCCCGATGGCAGTGACACCACAGCGGGGAACTGCTCCACGCCCTTCGGTGCTTCCCGGTACGAGTGTGGGTGGTGGTAGCCGTGACCCTGGAAGCTTTCCGAGCCGCGGTTGTCAAACACAAGCGACACATTGCTGGCATCGTGTTTGCGTATGAAGGTGGAGATCTTGCCGTAGTAGTCCGGGGTGGTGCGGGCCGTCTGCGCCCTCATGTCAGCCGGTACCGTCTGCTTGCTCAGAACTTCGTGAAAGTAGAAGCTGAACTTGGCGAGCAGTGTCGCTTGGAAGCGCTGCAGCCACACATAGAGGTGCGGAGGCTGCACTGCCTTCTGGGACTGACCTCCGAACAGGTGCTTGCGAGTCTCCTTCTGCCGCTGGAACAGCTGACCCCAGGTGAGGAGCTTGGAGTTGGCACCGTGCAGGCTGAGCAGGGCGGGCAGGAAGTGCCACTCGGACAACTGGGCTTGGCAGCGCAGCAGCTGTGTCACTACGTCCACCTCCATCTGGAAGCCCTCCTCCACCCGGCCCACAATGGGATGGTGAAACCTGGAAGAGCAAAAAAAGAAAGAGAAGGAGGTGAGGAAGTAAAGAAGGAACCAATCCATCAATCAGTCATTATTCCTCCTGTTGGGTCTGACATTATTCATCTTTTCCAGGCCTGAAACAAACACACACTGAGGCTCCAGTGAAACAATCACTTCTGAACAGTGCTGACAGACCTGCAAAGGCAAAATGTGAAGAAGTTTTGAGGGTGCCAAAATAAAATCTCTCTGAGGAGATAGAATCCTTTATTTTCTCTTCTGGCCTAATTTGCAGAAACCTCAAAGCAGCTGAGACAAACGTCTCCCCCAGATCTGCTGACAAGGCAGAGAGAGAGAGCAAGCACGTTACAGTTTCTCGCCGGTTCATGGCTGGCTGACCCGTTGACGTCTGGCGCGTCACGCTGCATTCCGCTGCAGCTCCGTCAACAGCTCACTCGCTTTCTGTTCCTGCTGTGGCTACAGCACGCCACTTTGCTGACACGTCTCTGGGGAAAACACCAGATTCCTGAGCTCAAAGTTTCCCTTCAACAACCTCAATATGTCACTCTCTCTCTTTCTCTCTCGCTCTTTGTTTTTTACACTTGGGTCCAGAAGCTTTTGAATAATGACACAATTTTTGCCAGTGTGCACCACCACAGCAGGTTTTAAATTAAACTATGAAGAAATGATTTAAGTGCTGACTTCCAGCTTTAATTCTAGGACTTTAATTTAAATACTGCATTACCTGTTTAGGAATTACACACATTTCTATGCACAGTCACCTGGTCTGTGTCAAAATTGTGTCGTCCAAATACTTAACCGTACATGTTTGGGTTTTTTTTAATCTCGCTTTTTTCTAATCAACATCAAAGGACCAAACTACCTGGGTCTGGAAGTATTAGTTACTACAACTATGTTAGTTGTAGTGGTTTCGAACTGTTCCATTTAACTCTTACATTGCAAAATTAAAAGATTTTCTTCAGTAAAAGTAATCTGTAATCAGATACACACTTGGAGCTGTATTTCTGGAGGACGACCTCGAGCACTGTGACCAGCTCCTCAGAGTTGACATTCTTCTGGCTGCCCAGTGAGTGCATTTTCTCGTACAGGTCAGCCATCTCCATGCGGGCCTGGATGAAGTGGCAGAGCTGCTCTGAAAGGTGCGATAACAGGTCCTCCAGGTAGGAGGCGGAAGAGGAGGAGTTCAACTGGCCGTGGCGCCCCATCATCACCACCTTCCTGAGCTCGTTGTACAGCGAGGTGTAGATGGTGCGGATGGAGTCCTTCCGGCTGAAGAAGGACTGGCCACCTGCAGAGAGAGGGGTGTGTGTCAAGCTACAGAAACACTTAGGTGCTGCAGCGCCACCTGGTGGTGGAAATTAAATTTATATCTGGAGTTTTAAATGTTTAATTGAGTACAAACAATAGACAATAAGAAATCATTGCTTACTTATAATGAAGATGAAAACATAATAAGTCTCAGCTCAGACTGGATTAAAATTCTGACTGAAGCAGCGATAAAAACAGTTGGAGCTGTTGTGAACAAACGTTCTGCAAGGTGTGATGCAGGACATCCATCGAGGACATAAAACAAATTATAAAACCTAAAACTCTGCATGCACAGCACTACATTTAAAAGCTGTTTATTAGGAGCAAAAAAAAGATAAATACTTAGAAATGTTTATGTTCACAGCAGGAAAAAGGAGTAAAAACCCTGAAATCACCGTTATGGACTGAACCCAGATTTCCCAAAACATTCCCATATTTGACGTTTTAAAGAAGGTGTCATTCTGAAGGAGACCACTCGCATGAAATATTTCACCACAGGTTAAAGGTGAATGCCCAGAACAGACTTGTAGTGATTGCAGTGACCCTTTGCTCTAAGGGGAACCACACAATTCCAACATTCCTTCCACAGCATGAGCGCCACAGGCCATTTTATTATCATGAACTGACATTCATATTTGCAATTGTTCTCCTAAATTTGCTATCATTTCTTATAAATAGATTTTTTCTCCTAGACTTTCGTTTACTTATAAACATGCTCCATTGTCCTGAATTTTTTTCTTACAAATATGCCATTTTCACCTGAAACTTTTTCCCCTCGTAGATTTGCGCGTTTTTTAAAAAATCATTTTAATTTCATTTAATATGTCAATGAAATCAATTACACATCGACGAATTATTCTACCTTCGTACATGCACAGACCCCATATATACTCCATTTTATCTGCTTTAATCCACCACACCCTCCGTGTTATGGTGGTAGTTATACAGCGGACCACAGCAGCAGAGAAAGCTACCTATTTTCTGTCCCAGGAACGTCATGTTGTGGTACACCTTCTCCGCCGCGGCCAGGTGAGCCAGAGCGGCCAGCAGCGCGCTCCAGATGCTCCCGCTGCTCCTGCTGCCGTCCTTCTCCCGCTCCACGTAGTCCTTTGCTCGGTCGAAGGAAAACATGCCGAGCTGGGCGAAGAAGCTCTCCAGGATGGCCCGCTCCCGGGGAACGGGCCGCAGCTCCTCCACCTCCATGGTTCGCAGATACCCCCGAGCTAACTGTTAGCAACGGGAAGTGTGTGTAAGAAAAAACACCAACTGATAAATAGTGTGGTTAAAAGGCTAATTTTACATACTAATCCCAGGAAACCCATTAAATATAAACGTGAAACAAAGAAATTAAAACACGTCTATTTAAAGCTAACAGGCCAAGTGCAAGACGCCATATTGGCTACGCCGGATGTAAACACTACGGAAAGCCGCGGACGTCAATTCATGAAGAACCTCCTAAATTGGGGGCGATAGAGGAGGGGGTCTTTTATTCAGCGGCGGATCTAGAGAAATTTTCTTAGGGTGGCATGAGCGTGGCAAAGAAATCAAATGGGGTGGCAAAATCAAAGCCTTTTTTTTTTCAAACACATGTGCAGGTGGTTACATATGGTTAAACTAATTCAAATGCAGTAAGTATACACGTTTTTCATATAAATATAGTCTATAACTTAATTATTATCTGTAGCCCACATAATTACACACTTTAGTTACATAAAACATGTGAGTTTTGATGCTATGTACTGTATAGCCTGTATAATAAATAAATATGTAGCCCAATAAGTATAAAATCCAGAAAGCTACACAACATTGGGCGGTTCATTTACAAACACAAGTCTAACTTAAGTTTCACTGCTTTTTGTTAGAAAACAATCACACTGTTGGATGCTTTAATACACAAAATGTCAGAAATCTGCACTGTCATGAACAAAAATTTAAACCTAATTTAAACCTGATGTGTTTCTATTAGAGGAGTTAACCTGTGGAATAGTTATGACAGTGATTTAAAAAGGTGTGGTTCATTTTCCTTAAAATAGAGTATTAGAAAAATATATAAATCAAGAATGAAAAGAGCAAAAAAAAACCTCTTGATTCTTTTGCTTTGATGTAGTTACTTATCTAAGGTGGAAAGTTTTTTTTTTCTTGTTTGTTTGTTTGTTTTGTTTTTGCTTTATTATTTGCTTCGAGCACTGTGTACAGGAGCTGCATACAAAAAGATATTTTGTTAAAAGGGTTGGCGTAATAAGCAAATGCTTCAGCCAATACCTTTTGATTAGCCTTGTCTCATGCTTTCTTGCTTTGTGGTAGATCTTTGTTCTGTTTTCACTGAGATATTTGAATGCTAATCAATCAAAATCAAAATCAAATCAAATCAAATCCCAGGAGTTCAAATATATAAATTAATATGTAAATTAAATACAACATAACTTTAAGAAGTGAAGTTATATTGTTCTTTTACTTAAAAAAATATTTTCGCCAATATTTTTCCCAGTTTTCCTACACGTTACTATTTTTCATCATGTATCCCCTCTAAGTAACAACAGGAATGAACCAAATCCCAGGTTTAGACTTATTTTTCCACTTTTATTGTTGAAAGCATATTAAAGTTGTCTTTTGTGGGGCTGAAACTGTGGAAAACCTCCCAATACTTTATCTACAGTTAATGTTTTTAACACAGTTATTTAACAGAACTGTTTTGTACTTTTTTGTACTAAATAACACTCTGAATATGTTTTATATTAATTGGTTTTTGTTTTTGTTTCATATATATTGCTGTTATATGTCCTCATTCTTGTTGGCTTTTAACCGGGCCCTGAAATATGCTGCAAGGACTAAAAATAAATGTAAAATTGATGTTGCTGTCAGGGGTGTTGGTGAAGATATATAACCTTAATATCACTTAAGCCAGGGGTGTCCAACTCCAGGCCTCAAGGGTCGGTGTCCTGCAGGTTTTAGTTGTGTTCTTGATCCAACAGCTGATTTCAATGGCTAAATTACCTCCTCAGCATGTCTTGAAGTTCTTCACAGGCCTGGTAATGAACTAATCATTTGATTCAGGTGTGTTGACACAGGGTGATATATAAAACCTGCAGGACACTGGCCCTTGAGGCTTGGAGCGGGACACCCCTGACTTAATCTAAGCACCAATCAAAGGGGATGAAGTTCCTGTAGTTCCTCTAGTGGCCACTTGATGCTGCTTCAAACAGTGAGTCAGTTGCCATAGACTCCAATGTTAACGTGTCCAACTTCCCAGCAGACATAAATATGGTTACAGCCTGATGCAAGAAACAACTTAGGCCTGTCCTAATAGGGTCACTTCCAGTACCAAAAAAGCGGCATGGCAGTGACTAATCCCATCTTTTATATACAGTCTATGGTTTAAAGTTTGGCTTGCCCATTGATTTCCCTCAGGATTCATTTGCTCCAAGAGTCTTTGGGGATTCATATGTGCTCAAATTGTGGTCATAAATATTTTGTACTTGTAAATCAAATGCATATTTGTGTACTGAGTTTTGTAACCTTGTAAACCAAAATATTTGAAAAATGTTATGTTTCTGCATCTATGTGTTAGTTGAAAGCCACATGCAGTCAGGGAACCCGAGCACAGAGTTTTACATGTAGTTTTTTGCTTTATATCTGTAACCAGACCTTAACAAAAAAAATTGTAACTTGTGTAAATATTTTTACAAACACAAATCTTTTTTTACACACACAGAAATTCTCATCTGTAGATGCACAAGCATAAAATTTTCACATATTTTGGTTTACAAGGTTACAAAACTCAAATACTCACAAATATACATTTGATTTACAAGTACAAAATATTTATGACCACAATTTGAGCCCATAGGATTCACTAAACTCCAACATCATGTCATGGTGTTGAAGTCCCTTTCAACAACTACACTTCCCATGAGTCTTGTAAATACAGAATGTTATAAGTTCTTTCTCTCTAATTCTCTCTTAAGGCTCTCTCTCTCTCCAGGGGTGGATCTAGCCCCCCTCTTAAAAAGTTACTGCTGCTTCAGTTTCGCACAAACCACATCTCCTCTGATCCTCCTCCGCTCGTCGCTGCTCGGTAGGTGGCATAATCTCTCTTTCCTTCAATAGCTTTCCTCTAGTGTGTGTGTGTTCATAGTTTGATCTCAGTTAATGTTTTTGACTGATAGACATTTATGGTGTGTATTCAAAATAAACTACTGATATTAAATCACCACTATGACTGTGTGTGGGTTTAATATTGGAGCATAAGACCAGGCTACAAGAAATCTGAGCTGTAAATTATCCGCAGGTTTGTGCACCTGTGTGAATCAGTGGGAGGAAGATATAATTAAACAAATTCTTGTTTTGAGTATTTAGTCTATTGTAATTTGTTAAAAACATTAAATCATTTTTGCTTTATAGTTTTGGATATACACTCTACGGCCACTTTATTACGTAGACCTTTTCAACTCTTTGGTAACACAAACACAAACATTTATTCAGCCAATCCTGTGGCAGTAACTCGATGCATTTAGATGTGGTCAAGATGACCTGCAGACATTCAAACTAAATATCAGAATGAGAAAAAACATTATTTTAACTGGGTTGAACGTGGCGTGGTTGTTGGTACCAGATGGGCTGGTCTGAGTATTTCACAAACTGCTAATCTGGTGGGATTTTCTAACACAACCATGTCTGGGATTTACAGAGGACAGTCCAAAAAAGAGGAAAATATGAAGTAAACTGCAGCTCTGTGGGAGAAAAAGCAACAGTAACTCAAATAACCACTTGTTATAACTAAGGTATGCAGAAGAGCATTGCAAACTCAAACTTTGCACCCAGGCTAAAGCAGCAGAAGACCACATTGGGTGCCACTCTTGCCATCTAAAAATAGAAAAGAAAACAAAGGCTACAATTCACACAGCCTCACCAAAACTATGCAATACAAGACTAAAAAATGTTTTGTGGTCTTATGAGTCTCAATTTCTGCTGCTGGCTGAAACTAAGTAATTATAACAACAACAAAACAAAACAAAAAAAGAGTAATTATAATATACTTTTTTAAAATCCCAAGATTGGTATTTTTTGTTACAGAACTTTAACATTATTTAAACGCATTTAAACACACAGGGGGGGCTTAAATAAGTAAAAAAGATATGAAATTATGTCATATATACTGTTTGAGGTGTTTTTATGATGAGACACAATCTGTTCTAACCCTGGTATTAAAAGTGTGTAATGTGTACAAACTGCTCCACATTCATTACACAGAAAAGCTTTTAAAATGTTGGCAGATACAGAATCACTTTTATTAGCCTGTACAAATGCAGTGGAACAGAAATACATCTGATCTCAACAATGTGGTAGTTAAAGCTGAGCTGAGCTTCACAGTCAACTATAATTAGACTTTAATTTATGTGCAAATACCTGTGACTGCAGTGAATATCCCCTGAGCCTCAGACTGACTTTCCATTTGTAGTGGTAAATAGTAAATCACCCCACATAAACCAAAATAAGGACAGAAGAGTTGAAGGTAAACTGACCTTTCTTATCAGCTGTACCTCAGCACACTGTACACCATGATATCTTAGCCAGAAAATCATTTTGAACCACTGTGACACGACAAAGCTAATTACTAACATCCCGTTCACTGTCTTATTCCTAACATGCTAGCTTGTTGAGCAGTTTTTTGATTAAGTGTTACAGATATTTGGCTATAAACCAAAATGATGAAAAGTCAAATTACCAATTAAAGTGATAAGAGTTAATCCTGAAGGGAATGTGAATAAACAAACCAGTCTTAACCCACTGCCAGCCTGCTCCTGTGTACATTGAGCTTTATCAGTAATATTCACACACTATTTGCCAAAAACAACACTAAATACTAAAGAATTTGGAATTAATCATCTGGGAACCATGAAAAACAATGTGCAATCAGGTCACCAAGCTCATTTGGAGATGTTGCACAGAAAATGTTGTAGCTTTCGCTTTGGGCTTTTGTAGCTATTGGAACCAGCTGAAAAGTCAGGGGATTACCATAACTTAAAGAATTTATCCTCAGGGAACCATGCATCTTAGCATGTAGCATCATGGTAATGCATCTAATGACGGATGTATTTAATTTATTTACCATAAAGGGTTATCAGAATTGATAGCATTTATTTCCTGGGTTTGATAACTTTCTTGTAAATTGAAGGAATATTAGAAGATTACCAAAGATTTTTGGGATCATCATCTGGGAACCATGAATAAACATGAATGGAATTGAATTGAACTGAAGTGAGTTGATAACATTTGCTAGGATTCATCCTTTGAACACCATCAACTCTGTCCAGTTTCTAAAATTATATCAAACGTGAAATTTAAACCACATGGAGGCACAAGAGTGAAGCCCAGGGGATCTCCAAAGTAACTGGGACTGATCATCTGGCAACCGGTGCAAAGGTTTTGTTCACTTTATCAAGTAGATTATGATAT